AAAAACCGACTTTCCCAGATAAAGCGTTTTGCTTATGAGTTCCTTAACGAGGACAGCACCAAACTCAGTCATGCTGGAGCTTTGTTTATGAAACGCGGAATTTGCATACAACAACCTGCCCTGCTGAACCTATTTCGTACGTACTCTAGAGGAGAGCTGGTTCTTCGCTGAGGCAAACCAACCGGCAAAAGATTCGGCGGGATATACGACGGGATGCTGGTGCCTTTCGCATAGAACGCACCTGAAATTTAAAGAAAAAATTATTCCCACAGGTCGTCATGCAACGAAAGGCTGAAAGCTAAAATTCTTAACCTGTGCTCGCTTCTAATTTAATGGACGCCGCCGGTTTATTCGCGGTGTCTTCGGTACTCGAACACTCTTTTCCGTTACCCTGCCACGAACTGCTTCCAAAGTCCAATCCAATGGGAACGTATGAAACTTGTTCCTTGTCTAAAAACGCTGTGTCCGAAAACAAAGATATCTTTAGAGCATTTTTTCAACCATTAATAAGTTTCCATTACAATGGAAATACTTCAGCTACTTTTTGTCACTTAAAATGTTAATTTTTAATAAATTTAATGAACAGTAAGACGATGGTAAAGGCGATCATGCTAAGCGTCAAATTCAAGTATATGAAGTAAGGGATTTCCACAGAAAACAATTCATGCTTGCTGCCTCCCTGATTAAACACGACTCCTCAACCTCGCAGGTCAAACAACGGTTTTACATGCCTATTATCATCTAATGTCTGCCCGTTGAAACCTGAGACATCTTCACAGCGAAAAGATATTATACTATTAGCAAACAATTAACCTATTTACACAGTTGAGAACAAATACAAACTTTAATTACACTACGTTCATCTGACAAATGCTAGGGAGCAGAGATGGTACACAGTTCTGAATGAGTCAACGTACAGACTGAACAACAATTGGCAGAGAACAGAACCCTGAATAATTGCGACACAGTTACTGTTACTCACTTAACATATAGTGTAAGCTATCTGTGAGGTACACTTTGAACCATTTTGAAGGTGATGACATTTAAAAGGAATAACGCAGACGTCTCCAACAGTTTCTGCTGAGGGATACAAATGAATGCCGAAAAGAAGCCCAGAAATAGCGTACGAGTTGCGCAATTGACTTTATTCATGCTGCCTATTAAAGTTTTACAAGAAAGCATATTTCACTAATGTTGGCACCCTGAGTGCACTGGCTACAAAACACCACAAAATACGTTACTTACAGAAAAATACCGGGGCCGTAAGTGCAGGCTACCGTATCCGCTTCCCTAAAACTTGGATCGGATAATTTTCAACCTGAAGATGGCCAGGATGTGACTGACAAAGGGCAAAGGATACAAACAAGATCTTGGCCAACCAGAATTCTGGCGTAAGACGCACTCATCGACATATACATCACGTAGGCGAAGAAGATCAAAACAGATGTTCTCGGTGTGTCTGAATCCGAATGGAACAGCGGTGATTAAACATTCCTCCAATTTCATAGCAAGAACGGCATAAAATCGGAACATCTCAAGTTGGAAAAAATCGCCTCGCTGAAAACCCTGCCGAGCGATTTACGTAATACATCAGGCCAAAGAAGAGACTATAAGCATGGAAGAGTTATTTGACGAAATTTCGATTCAAGAAAGGTCACACTGAAGAACTCCAAACCTACCGACCCATCATTCTCCTGTTACAAGTTCACAAAATTTCATCCTTGGTACATACATACAACCAAATCATGCTTGGTTTCCAGTATCCTTGATTTCAAGGCTGCATTTGATTCACTGCAACGTCCAATGATGTGGAAAATCTTTAAATGCTACCAGATACCTGAGCACAGCGTTTATATTATGCTAGAAATGCACGCAGGGACCACGTCTGCTGTCATAGTTGAAGCACGGCTA